ACAACATTGAAACAGAAGTTTCAGTACCGGAAATAGTTGGAGACCAGGCAGAGATCATCGAAAACAAGATAAACACAAATGAAACAGCCATCGGTGAAGTACTGCAGGTGATAGAAGAAGAAACGGTCTCCACAGCGCAACAAAATGGAGACCACCAGGATGAGAAGAAGAGATCAAAGAAATCTAAACGCAAGATCAAGAGAAAGGCAGCAACGAGAGATGCATCTGAGCTGAAAGCTGTCAATGAGGAAAACATTCCTGGTGCCAACATTGAAAAAGAACTTTCAGTATCGGAAATGGTTGAAGACCAGGCAGAGATCATCGAAAACGACATTCACACGAATGAAACAGCCATTGGTGAAGTACTGCAGGTGATAGAAGAAGAAACGGTCTCCACAGCGCAACAAAATGGAGACCACCAGGATGAGATAAAGAGACCAAAGAAATCTAAACGCAAGATCAAGAGAAAGGCGGCAGCGAGAGATGCATCTGAACTGAAAACTGTCGGTAATGAAAACATTTCTGGTGAAAACATTGAAAAAGAAGTTTCTGTACCGGAAATAGTTGGAGACCAGGTGGAGAACATTGAAAACGAGATTCACACGAATGAAACAGCCATCGGTGAAGTACTGCAGGTGATAGAAGAAGAAACGGTCTCCACAGCGCAACAAAATGGAGACCACCAGGATGAGAAGAAGCGATCAAAGAAATCTAAACGCAAGAGAAAGGCAGCAACAAAAGATGCATCTGAACTGAAAGCTGTCAATGACGAAGACATTTCTGGTGAAAACATTGAAAAAGAAGTTTCCGTACCGGAAATAGTTGGAGACCAGGCAGAGACCATAGAAAACGAGATAAACACAAATGAAACAGCCATCTGTGAAGTACTGCAGGTGATAGAAGAAGAAACGGTCTCCATAACACAACAATATGGAGACCACCAGGATGAGAAGAAGAGATCAAAGAAATCTAAACGCAAGATCAAGAGAAAGGCAGCAACGAGAGATGCATCTGACCTGAAAGCTGTCAATGAGGAAAACATTTCTGGTGAAAACATTGAAAAAGAAGTTTCAGTACAGGAAATAGTTGGAGACCAGGCAGAGACCATCGAAAACAAGATTCACACGAATGAAACAGCCATCGGTGAAGTACTGCAGGTGATAGAAGAAGAAACGGTCTCCACAGCGCAACAAAATGGAGACCAGAAGGATGAGAAAAAGCGATCAACAAAATCTAAACGCAAGATCAAGAGAAAGGCAGCAACAAAAGATGCATCTGACCTGAAAGCTGTCAATGACGAAGACATTTCTGGTGAAAACATTGAAAAAGAAGTTTCCGTACCAGAAATAGTTGGAGACCAGGCAGAGACCATCGAAAACGAGATAAACACAAATGAAACAGCCATCTGTGAAGTACTGCAGGTGATAGAAGAAGAAACGGTCTCCACAGCGCAACAAAATGGAGACCCGGAAGATGAGATAAAGAGATCAAAGAAATCTAAACGCAAGAGAAAGGCAGCAACGAGAGATGCATCTGACCTGAAAGCTGTCAATGACGAAGACATTTCTGGTGAAAACATTGAAAAAGAAGTTTCCGTACCGGAAATAGTTGGAGACCAGGCAGAGACCATTGAAAACGAGATAAACACAAATGAAACAGCCATCTGTGAAGTACTGCAGGTGATAGAAGAAGAAACGGTCTCGACAGCGCAACAATATGGAGACCGTAAGGATGAGAAGAAAAGATCAAAGAAATCTAAACGCAAGATCAAGAGAAAGGCAGCAACGAGAGATGCATC